CTCAGACTCGGGCAGCCTCTGCAGCAGGCGGTGGGACTGGACCGCCTGTTCACTTCCGGCTGAATCTACAACTGGGATTCCGTGATAACGCGGTTCTCCTATTTGTTTCTTCACAACTCGCTGACACAGAGGTTGCGCCCTCGCTGTCGGCAAAGCGTTCTCGCAGCCACAGCCGAGTAAGCGTGGTTCACGCGTCATGAGGCTTACAGGAGAGCGGAGGCTTTCGGGGAGAGGGGAGAGGAGCGGAGCAAGGTGAATGTAGAACCTGCCCGTCTTACTGTTCCACATTGGAATGCCGGCTCTGTGCTCTCCCGTGACTCTGTCGTGAGGCTTGTTCGAGTAGTTCTGGCCAGTGTGAAAGACTTCCCTGGGTTTGTGTGGCAATGACACATGAATAGGCTTGGTCGTTTCTAAGTTTGTTCTAGTGGTGGCAGTGAGTGTTATCGTAGATTTTTTTTCTAGTCACTTAAAACTAATATTTTGAAGCTGCACCGAGTTAGTAGCCTAGAAACAATCTGCGAAATAGAGGTTTGGATGTGGCAACTGATGCCATCTCGCTTCCTCTTTGAAACTGTAGAGTGCGTTGTCCTGATTGTTCCTTTTTCTTGGGTTAAATTCTCATCCTGGTATTCCAAAGGATGTATGATTAGACCATTGTGTTTTTTGGAGTTTTTTTTTTTGAGTTGGAGTCTTACTCTGTTGCCCAGGCTGGAGGACAGTGGCACGCTCACGACCACTGCAGCCTCGACCTTCTGGGCTCAGGTGATCCTTCCGCCTCAGCCTTCCAAGAGGCTGGAACTACAGGCAGGCGCCATCATGCTCGGCTAATTTATTGATTTATTGTAGAGATGAGGTCTCACCAAATTGCCCAGGCTGGTCTTGAATTCATGGGCTCAGGCAATCCTCTCATCTTGGTCTCACAAAGTGCTGGGATAATAGGCGTGAGCCACTGCGCCCGGCTGATTAAAGCATTTTGAATCAATGACTTTAGAAAGGTGAGTTTTGCCTAGGAGAAAGTAAGGTGGAGGAAGAAACATCTGGGGTCAGAAAATTTCTTTTCCCCAAAGTCCTCAGACAAGAACTCAGGAGAGTAACTTGGGTGATGGAGACCCATGGAAGATCAGCAAGCTGGAGAGTGAGGGGAGGTAAAGAGAGATGCCGTATGGTGAAGCAGGGGGGAGATCACACCGGCTGGGCTCGGGAGGCGCTTTGGAGAGCCTGCTTCCCGCATGCTGTGAGTGGCAGGTGGACCACAGCAGGAACTGACTCCTAAGCACGCAGCCCCGTGAATCTAGAGCATTCGGCACTAAGCTCAGTGGCCACTGTACAGTCTCCATACTATGCATTTACTTTTTCATAGATCTGAAAAGAACGTTTGCACATTTAATTTCTGTCCCCTCAGAACGGATGGAAAATAAGGGGTGTGAGAGGGCCTGGTCTGGACATTTTCCAAGGGTGAAAATGAATGAGCAAAATTATATGTATACTAAGATATGGTTCTTTCCATCTGCTCCATAGTGAGGTGGCCTCCTGAGGAGTGTCCTTTCAATGTTTTCCAAGGTGGGTACGATGTCTGCAGGGTAGAGTACTAGATATAGCTCTACTCATCCACCATGCATCTAAACTCACGGCATACATCAGTGAAGAGTCTTCGTTTTATTGGGATAATAGAGTTAAAGTATGCAGTACCTGATAAAGGGGCAGAAAGCTTAGGCTGTGGTCATAGGGAAAAGGGCCTCATGAGAGAAGAAATATGTATTAGCTACAGTTTTCTTCTGTCAGTTCTCAACTAGGTTCTATTAGTGGAGCTTCCCAAAACATTCAGACCATATTTCCAATTCAGATGTTGTTAGAGCTCATCATAATTCAAATCTCGCCACGGGTTTACACCAATTTACCCAAACTTCCAGCCTAAAAACGATGTGTTTAATGGTTCACAGGGATGTTTACGTATAATAGCCAACTCTTGAAATGGCAACTCTGTTAGAAGCAAGTATCCTCAGTGTTCAGCCTTGGCTTGCACAGAGAGACGGTCAATACAAGTTTGGGGCTGATGGTGAGCCCAAGGGACAGGAGTTCCACGCTGAGTCACAATTGGCTTTGTGCTGAAGAGAGGATGTCAGCTGGTGAAATCAGGCCCAGAGGAGAGAAGTGTCCTGTCACAACGTCGCAACAGACCACCCGCTTGTCACTCGGTACAGCAGAACCACAGGGAGGACTTTTCTCACCCCGAATAGAGGGCGTAGCCGGGCCCCGATGTCCGTCCGCGAAGAAATGTCCACGCTGGAGCTGATGGAGAACCTCAGGGAAGAGCTCACCTGCTTCATCTGCCTGGACTACTTCAGCAGCCCGGTGACCACCGAGTGTGGGCACAGCTTCTGCCTGACGTGCCTTCTCGGGAGCTGGGGGGAGCACAGCAGGCCGCTGTCGTGCCCCGAGTGCTGGCGGAGCCTGGAGGGCCCGCACTTCCAGCCCAACGAGCG